ACCTGTTTCCACGTCCAGCTTTCCGTGACCGCACCGCTGGTAGCGCCAACAACCGCTCCAAGCCCACTGATGATGCTGTTCAACAAGACCGACCACCCCGAGCTCAAGGAACCTATGACGGTCGTGGACGTGGGCGAGGAGGTCGTGGCAACTTCGATCGACACAGCCGAGGTGTTGGAGGGTAAGAACATATTCCGAACTCACACGCAACACTTTGTTCTAACCTTTACAGTGATTCAGAGAAGCAAGCAAACCATGGATGGGGTGCAACCGAAGGCGGTGCCGAACTTGCTGACGAACAAGCTGGCGAGGCAATTGCCAATGCCGAACAAAAGGAGGCATTGACTGGTGACGGAGACGCCGCTCCAGCAACCGAACCTGCTGAACCTGCCGCTGATGCTGAACCCGAGGATAACAGCATCTCTTACGCTGATTACCTCGCTCAACAAGCCGAGAAGAAGTTGGCCCTTGGTACTGGTGTCCCTGAGCCTCGCAAGCCGAATGAGGGCAGTAAGCAGGACAAGAAATGGGCAAATGCTAAACCTATCTCCAAGGAGGATGAGGAAGATTTCGTCGCTGGATCTGGTGGCAAAGCTAAACGTGAGCGTGAGCGTAAGCAGAAGCAAGTTCTTGAAATTGACCAACGTTTCGTTGAAGCTCCTGAACGTGGTGGACGTGGTGGCTTCCGAGGTCGCGGCGAGGGACGTGGACGCGGTGGCCGAGGCGGCGAATTCCGTGGAGGCCGTGGCGAAGGTCGTGGACGTGGCGGACGTGGTGAAGGATCATTCCCTCCAAGAGGCGAAGGCCGTGGCTCTTCTCGTGGTGGTCCCCGCGGCGGCGCTGCTGGACTCAGCATTGAAGACAAGAGCGCTTTCCCAAGCCTAGGGTCATAGACTCTCGGCCAAAAGTCTCAAAATGATCTTCATAGTGGTGTGAATTCTTTACGATAACTCCTTACGAACGATCGAGCAAAAAATTGTTGTGCATCTAGTGCAAGTTGGGGGGAATCTTTGAAGTGGAACGAACGAAAAGGGCCAAAGTATACGGTGGTTGAGTTCTTGATCTATCAATCATGCGTCTAGTCTATTCGCAAAAGCATTAGGGATGATGACTGTGGACTCGTGCCTTCGGAAGGCTTTGCAAGCATTGGCTGGCCTTGCGGTGGGGATATCTGATTCTTCGTCGTCTGGGTCGGGCACTCGCATTAGCTTGCAACGGTAGACTCAAAAACTCTTTTCCAGTATGGTAATCAAAAATTGCTTTTTCTACAATCCAGTGACAGGCAGTACCCGTTGCTTGAGTGAATTATTGGTGCAATGTGGCTGTTGCTTTGAACGAGGCTATTCGTCCTGGCCTGAGCCGGAAGCACCAAGGCTTGCTCTACGAGTTGATAATTTGAAATATCTTGGTCGTTCACTTGGCATTTTTCGTGATACAGGTTGTCCAGATTGCTGTCCAAACTTACGCAGAATGTCAGATTGTCGATCTGCGCTTCAGAATATTACTCCGAAATCCTCCGTATTCTTCATAATCTGGACGGTTTCACGGAGGATTATTAACTTTAAAATAATCTTCTATCACTTCTTAATTTAAGGAAACCAACCACATCCGAGTAGTTCAAAAGTAAGTCACATTGCCGAACGAGCAGGCGAGTTCTTGTTCTCGAAATTATTACCATTATGATGCGAGATGGTCATTTCTTGGATGCCTGGTTTGAGTGCTTAATATATCTATCTATCTGTTCTTCATAAGCTCGATTCTAAGAAGGAAACTTCAAAATTGTTCATTATGTGCACATTTTGTGTTAATAGTGGGAGTTGACCTCGCCACTTAGGGGCCCTCACCCTAAGTGGGCGAAAGCGAGTTGTCCCGTTTTTTGTATGGGCGCCCTCACCAAAAAAATCGCGAAAATCCAACGTTCCAAAATCGCAAAATTTATCGTCGCAAATACTTCTAATTTTCAACTTTTCTTAATAACTCTTCAACAACAACATTAAATATTTAATAATAAGCGACGCAATTGTAGAATAAGACCGTACAAATTAATTGCACTCTTCAGATTTCTTATATGTATTATATTGCATAAGTTATTAAGTGTTGAAAATCGCAAGTTTGTATGGAAAACGGGACAACTTGCTTTCGCGGGACAACTCGCTTTCGCCCACTTAGGGTGAGGGCCCCTAAGTGGCGAGGTCAACTCCCACTATTATTGGTTCATGAATAATGAGTTGTTGCCTCTGCGTAGATGTTTGATGCTATTGGAGTTAAAATAAGCATGTAATTTAAAAGAGGTTAAGGTTTTGGCTTATGCATATTTGTCTCGTCCAAGTTCTTTCGTCCTAGCTCGACAACAACACTAACTTTAAGCTAGGCCGATAACTACAATCAAGATCGCCCTGGTTGTTAAGGGTGGAGATTCTAATACGGCCTATGTTCTGGCTAGCAATCCTGACAATAGCACGTTGCTTTAGACACCGAGAAACCTAGCAATTCATTATATCTCGGCATTCGGCACAGATATATGCTTCCCGTCGATGCAGTCTCTCCAGAAGATTAGCTCAAGACTGAAGCCAGACAAAGATTGTGGTAAGATGCTCTATACATATTGATCACAATGCGAACTGGAAAATAAAGCGTTAGCATAACATTTCGCAATATCTTAGGCCCCAGTTGTAATCTGGGCTACCTACACGAAACATATAACATGATCGAATAAGCACTAGGATTATCTTAATAGCACTTGTTTAAGTAGTGAGTAAAACTCACAGATGTGGAAGATAGGAGGACACTCCGCCACCAAAAAAAGAAGCCGATTTTGGCACCTGCATAAATACCACAAAGTCTATTCGTGTTTCGCACAACAGTATTTTATTTTTCTAGAAATTAAAATACTAACCAATTACGTACTTTTAAATAATAATTATACTTTTTAGGGAAGTATTTTAACTTGATCGTGCTGCTAATTAAGTTCGAAAGGTGATGGTGCACGGGCCAAAACCAGCCATTTATTTCGATACCGTAGAGGAGGAGCACAAGACACTGGCGTGGGGATGAACCTTGTCAATTTGTTACCTCGGTAGTCAACTCTAGCAAAAATAAATTGAAGAATGGCTCATTACGGTGTTCTAATTTCTGACCTGGTGTCTCCCTCATTCCTCCTTCGTCGCGGAATAAATGTAGTGTCTTGGGTTTGACACGCCCAAGGTTATTTGAGGTATCGCATGCTGCAAGATTCGTTGAATTTTATTCGTACGTCGAGATGCCATAGGTGACACTTTGTTTGTTACGAGAGCATATTCCTGGAGCTTCCCGTCCTTTCATAAAACAATAGCGGACTCTAGTTCTTAACCCCATCCTGGAGTGAAAGGCTGGAAACGATTTTATTCATCATAATCTACCCTTACCATTCCGATGGATGAAAGGTATAGCGACAGTCATCCTTACTGTAAAGTAACGAGATGCAGTGAATAGCCTTGATCGGGCTCGAGCTTGCGGCCTGAAATGCTGAAAGACAGGCTGGTAACGAGGATGAATGGCTTGCTACTGTTTCGAAGGGTGGAAGTCTTCTCGTTACTGCATTCGCCAAGGGGATTCCATGACTTCGCCGTCCTGTGCTCACAGCACTCGGGAACTTAGCTGAAAAATATGCGAAATGTTAACGATGCCTTTGCGAATGATCTGTTAAAGAAGATGTCGAAGGGATAGCCGTTGACGTTCTTTTGAAAGCTTAGGGTAGCTGGATCATTGAAGCCGACGTGGTGATGGTTTGGTCGACTTGGCCTGATCAACTCACTTCTAAATATATAACAGGAAGGTGACCTACAATGGCGTGAAGCTTTTTGTCGAGTAGGAAGTATGCCGTAAACTTGTTACGTGCTGGGAGAAACATATGTTTAGGTAAGAACGGAGGGGGAAGAGCACGCGACATTTGCCGGAGGTAGCTTTGAGGTCAATGTACTTGCGCAGTAGTAGAGGAAGTCGCAACTGGTCGTGTGGTGTCAAGCCTCCTTCAACTGCATGCTGTAGGTGTGAAACACTTTGCGTTAAACAGGAAAGCCAGTCACGTTTTGGCAAGGGGCTCTCGCTTAACGTTTCGAGGAGGAACTGCCTGCTAGTGTTACTATAAACTCCCCCTCAGCCCTTCAGATTCCTCTCTCCACAACACATTTTCGGTATTGTTTTCAATATTACACGGGTCATCTTTCCCCAAGAATGATGTTCCTTCGACGTCGCAATCTGCGGATTCGAAACGCTAAACTGGAAGAATTACTCTATTAAGTATCTCGTCTACATGGACTGCCACTTGGCTTCAGAACTGGATCTTTGTTTGCAACCTGTTATTGCTTCGTAGCCATGCCTCCTCCATCTCTTGATGGTCAACAGACAACAAACGTATTCATGTCTTCAACTTTGTATACAGAGTTGCCATCGCGATACACGCAGAACACTTCAAGGGTTCTTCGTAGGAGTATCGTCTAGATGACTTCTTATACCATGCCAGAAGATATAGAGCCCAGTTGTTTGCCTTCCAAGAACGTCGCAGAGTGCTCAATACATTGGTATCACCTTGGGCACTAGCCTCGGTCCACATTCGCCGCCTCGAGCATTCTTTTACTTTGATAATCATTTTAGGAGCCAAGATTTGCAGATTATAGCATGTCTTTGTTGAAAAAGATACCTCCATTCGTGATCTCTCTGAGAAATAAACATTCCGAAGATTTAGTTGGGGCGTCGGCGATCAGAATCCTGCAACTGTCGATGTCGCTCTATGCTGCACACAATGTCTAAATAATTCAGCTGGAATAACATTCATACGAAAACGCTCCCTTAGCCCACTTTCTACTACTACTTAAAAGTTAGCAGTGACTTAACACCGTATATAATAGCAAATTGGTATATTGACCCCGCTATTGATTTCACCACCGGCCTGACTCACGCGGCGAACGTCAACCTACCGTGTAGTTTTGAATAAGCATTTTCTGTGCACATAAAAATTGATAGGCTTGATAGTTCAGTTGGTAGAATACATGCTTTGGGTGTTCTTACAAAGAAGTATGTGGTCCTGGGTTCGATTCCCAGTCAAGCCCTATTTTCCCCCTACCTCGGAATGCCTTGTGCAATCAATTTCATTTTGTTCTTTACTGACTATTTAGTAAGAAGCAGCATAGACTCCAGGTTGGCTATGGCCGAAGCGACGTTGGTGTCAAAATTGGCTAGGCAAACGAGAATGTGCTGAGGGGGTGGAAGTTATCGACAGCACTTCGAGCAGAAGGGTATGGCAGCTCCAATATTTATACTGATTTCTCCAAGTAGACATCAAATGAATTTAACACGAATATAGAAAGTGTTATAGATGGTGATCAGAAAGAAGGCACGAAATCAAATTGGCAACATTACATTAAGCGTGTCAACCATGTCAAAGAAGTTTCATCGGTCACTCGCTCCCGGATCTGACCTGCATATAGACGTAGAAAATTTTCGATGAGCAAAGCATGGTTTCGAAGGCGACGAGAGAGTTTTCTTTTAATGTGATCTACAGTACATTCACGTAAAGTGATTGCCTTCACCGGAATGTTGAGATGAGAACATGAGATGAGAACATGAGATGAGAATATGAGATGAGAATTGGAGGATATACTTTGGAGAACTGATGTAGATGAGGATTTGGTCAAGTGTTAATTCTGAGATAACAATCTGTTTGAACTCCTGTTCGTACAGATGCACTTATCTGTGGTAAGTTAAGATTTAGCCAATATTTAGCAGAAAACGAGACGAAGGCGAGATACTTTCTGAGCCACCGTCTTTTAGAATATCATGAGCGACACGAAATAAATCGATCAACTTTAGTCTAATTATCGGATGAGAACAGATGTATAGTCGATATCTTCGCCTGCGGACGCGACTGAACATCAAGGATGTTCTCTAATATCCGGAACGCTACTCTCCTGAACAGCACTACGGGTCCCCGACTCGTTCAATTTATTCGCCATTCTCACCCACAGCTGAAAGTGCTGCAAGATGGCAACAATATTTAGCTTGAGACTACCATCATCGCATGAAACGATGCTCTCTGCTATGAGATTCTAGTTAGGAGCATGGAAGGCTTGGTGGTGCTATATCTCATCCTAAGATACCTTACATCTCGTTTTCGCATACCTTCGCCGATGTAGAATCTTGTTCGGGGACTATGCAAGAATACGATGGCGCTAAGCCTCTCTTTGGCAGACGTACATATCTTCGAGCCAGCTGAGCGAGGCCTGTCAGAGTCCTAGAGCTCGTTCGCGCATGGATTCTGTCTCCACGAGTACGTCGAGCGTGGGGGTGCTGGAAACTAGGGCTTGAAAGGTGGTAGATATGTGGGCGGATGTTTCTAAACCCTTGATAAAAAGCAAGAAAAGTGTGGGATAAGACTAGGATGTTTATACCTGGCAATAATGCAAATCAGGGTTCAAATCGGATTACAAGAAGTCTTTTGAAGCTGATGCCATTAAAGAAAAGGTCTGGTAGAAGAGAAAAAAAGAAAGGCGTACGGTCCAGATTCGAAAGTTAGCTTAGACCGCATGTTATTTGCCGAGATTGAGATAGGATGTTTAAGGAGGGAACTTGACTTGAGTCTCTCTGAATATTGTGCCCAGGTAGATTGAGCATAACAATGAAGTGCGGTAGTACCGGAAGCTTCAATTGCAGATAGTAGAACATAAATTGAGTATTTCGAAGCATGTACTCCGCATTAAGTCTCGCACTCCAGAAGACAGGGTTGTAGCATGCTAGCATGTCATGCGCTCCAGACATTGCTGTACGTATAAAACCTTATCTATACACATAGAGCAAGCCTCGAGCTCTCACCGCATCTGAGCATGGATTGCTTGCCCTGTTTCCATCCGCCGGTCCGTCCCGGAATCCGGATGTGTTTCCGCGAGATTCTTACGTCGTAAAGCACAAACCATTGGAAATTTTCGGAGCTTGATCGTGGTAGCAGATCTTCCGACATCAGATTTCACGAGACTTCGCTGTAAGACTCCTAAATGCTAGTAATATCAAATGTGGCCAAATCAAACGTAGTAAATGCTCCTCCTAGCGGCAATGGTATCTCTAGATGCGCAGTACTTAAAACTTATTACGAGACTAGAAAGTCATAACTGGCACATTGAATGCTCTGCAATGCAAGGATGCAAGGAAACTCATCTTCAAATAATGTGGGGAGGCCTTTTGGCATCTGACTGAGCAAGATTTCGGCGAGAGCATCATCTGTGGCCGAGCTTGATACGAAGCCTCTAGGTCCTTGATGTCGATAAGACATGATTATCACAGTGTTCGAACCCAATCCTGGCTTCCGACAAGAGTTGAGCGGCGAAGGCTGAAGACGGCCCCACATACCGTGTATGATTCGGGAATAAGAGACAGTGCCCAGCCACTTAACTGGTCGAGTAGAACCCTTCCTTGCTTAGTTGAACTCAAATACAGGTCAGCATCTTAGCTCTCTCGCGAACGACCAAGTGCGATCGTACATGTGCATGGTTCATGATTCATGTACCGGTATTGGCGCTTCGGAATCTACCCGAGATGTAGATGACATGTTCTCGCGGATAAGCCGGTCTCGGGGATTGTTTTGAAGCATGGGAGGATGCCATACGGAGGGACAGCTTGAATGTATCATCCATGCACGGTTCGTACTCTTGTACTTCCGTACAATGATGCGCAGGGACTAACTCGTGCTAACGAGGCCGGTTATCCGCTTGTGCGAGCAAGCATGCGCATTTCCAGGCCGAAGCTGATCGACCGGCACGAAGCCGAAGAGTCGAGTCTCGGCCCGGTACGGCGTCAGCTCTTTCACGCAAATCTCCAAGTTCCACTAGGAAGTGTCGATCAGAGATAGTCGAGCAAGTTTTCGCAACGGAACAGGGAACACGAAAGTAGAACTAGCTGCGCTCCGTACGCTATGCTCAATGCGATGCTCCGACATTCTGCATATGCGCTGCAAGTACGAAAAGTATTGATTTCCGCAGCAGCAGGACATGAAGTCGAGATGCTCCATGTCCAACTTCTATCTGTCTATTCTCAAGTCAGCGCAATTTCTTTCTCTGTCTGTGTCTCCGACGCCGTGACCTCACAGATTCCAGCCATGCAGGATTCCGGTTCTATGCGCGTGACAGGAACCATGTACCAAGTAATTGCGACAAATATCTGCATGTTGAGCGTTCTGGTCGTTCTGGTCGTTCAGCGATGAGGATGTTGGAGACAGTGTCGCCGGAATCGATGCATCTGATTGATCGCCTAGACTAGTAATGTTGAGGTTACACAAAATCGACTTTAAATCAACCGTGACCCTCGATTGTTGGCCTGTGAACCACTGCAAGCTCGCAGCCACATTGTTGTAACACCTGTACCATTTCAAACGTTGACCGGCAGTTGACGCCCCAAGGCCCTATCTGATTTGGAGAGGACGTCCTTGGATACCAAAGAATGCAAGAAGCTGGCTGCGACGGTCCGCTGCTTGAGATGATCAGAAGTGGTCAACCGGTTGGCCACAGCATCCTCTGCTCCGTTTCTGGATGAGAGCTCAAGGTTTTCACAGGTATCCCAATCCTTCCTATGCCCTAATGCCCTCGGCCTGCTTCGGACATTGGACCGCCCTTTCAGGATCCAGCGCGAATGCCTCTCGACCGAGCTTAACATGGACCAGATATCACAGCTGGCCAACGTCCCCGTGGGTGGTGCAGGCGGTGCAGGGACATTGGATAAGCAGATGCCCAGTAGTAGCCATGAACGACGGAGATCACCTTGGAGCGCCGCCGTCCGTCGATGGCAAGCAAGTCAAAAGTACGTCTCGGGAGGTGATGTTCCTGCAATGCGGTCTTCGAATCTATCTTCCGGTCCACCCAACAAGACGCAGGTTTGGCGTCATCGGCTGCAGCTCAGGGTCGGAGACTTGCTTTGCCTTGTCGCATGGCCCTTGCACATCGGCTGCGCTGCATCGATTCGCTGCAATGACCTGCATGGCCCGAGTGAGGATTGGACCAAGAGACCCGACAGGCGGTAACATCTGATCAGTTGCTCCCGGCAAACCGTTAGAGATGTGGGCGAACTGAGATTGGGGATCAGGAAATGACTTGTCGTTTGTCTAGGACGACGGACGACGCGGGCGGTTGCTGGATACACCTGCTCGCTGGGCTGACGTCTTGTCTCGTCCTGTTCGAGGCGTTCGGCCATCAGAGCCAGCTGTTCGGGAAGTCGGAAGCTCTCGACCCTCGATCCGTCGACTGCGCGGTGTAGGGCCGGCTAAAGAAGACTTCGGCCTCGAGCCAGCTCACGCGGGTCAGGAAGTATAAACCAGGTTGCAGCCCAAAGGTCAACAGCCAACAGGCCGACCAGCACCGGTGATCGGTCACATCCACCACTAGGTGCGCATCCGAGACGGAAACAGTACATGTGGTCGCCCAGGATGCCTCCTTTCGTGACAAGTCAAGGGCCAGGCCAGGGCGTGTAACGGCCACACGGTTGGGTACCTGCTGGTGGTACTACGAAGTACCAGGGCCCGCCTCCCTCGCTTCGCTGCGCTGCGTTTGTCTCCAAGGCACATCTGGGCCACATATGGGTCGAGGGCCGTGGGCCGTGGAACGGCAGCAGGGAGGGGGAGGGTCCAGTGCGGCGGAGGCGGTGGAGGCGCTGGGTGTCGTGTGTGGGTTGAAGGAGGGAGAGGGAGAGGCAGAGTACCTAAGTAGAGCTCACGATGTTTGATGTGGGTGCCAAGCTACCGGTAGGCCTCAACTCAGACTCGAGACTAAAAGTTTAGCCCACGAGCCAGCTCAAGCACAGGTCCCCCCCCAACCCCCCACTCTCTCCTTTTCCTCAGCTCCCTCACCGTCCATCCTCCGGCCAAGGAAAGAGCTAAGGACACATCATATCAGAGCCCACTTTACGATTCTTATCGTGGCCTTGTCCTGGCCGTTTACGTTAAGCTTCCGCGCTGACGCTGCTAGTATCCGTCTCCGTCGTGCTCTTTCTCTATATTAGCTTGTCCGTAGTCTCTCCTTCCACACTCCTCTGTCCCTTTTCGTCTTCAAGAGATCAAATACAGAGTCTTCCT